TGATTCTGTGAAGGATTACCATCATTGGTATTACTGTTCTCTGTGGTGTTTTCAGATGGTGTTTGTGATTTGGAATGTTGGGAATCAACAACTTCAGAAGAGTGTGTGCCTACAGTTGTTGACGATGTTGCCTCTGCTGATGGTCCACTTTCCTCTGTTTTTAGTGAGACTGAAGTACCAGATGACGACACAGTCCCTTCATGTTCACCTTCTGCGCCATCTTGTTTAGCTATTTCAGCCTTTTGGGACATTGTGGGGTCAACCGGACTCTCTGTATCGGGTACGGTATTCTCCGGACCTGAGGGCATTTGTGATTTATTCTCCAGGGGAGGGCGTGTATGGGCATTACTATCAGGTACAACTTCCGTTTCAGTTTCACCATGTGGAAGTTGAGAAGTATCACCACCAGAAGATACAACATGATTCTGTGCCCCCGCCCTTGTTGAAGATAATAACGGACCCTCCTGTCTCGTAACTTTAGGCATTCCATGTTTTGCCTCATTATTTTTTTTTTTAAAGTAATCATTGATTTCTGTACTCTTTTCAACATAAGGAAACTCACCAGAAGAAGGATACTCACTACCCACGATATTCTTCAATTCATCAGGAAGTCCAGTATTCGCCATCACCGCTTTTGGCTGTCCAGCAGCAGCAGCCGTCATGGTATACCCGCAGGCGCAGCACAGCACAACGGCCAACACACACATCACACGGCGCATCATCATAATCATGAGAGAGACAAGGGTTGTTTGGTTTCACGTAAAAACACTGATCTAGAAAGAAAGAAAATAAAAAAGCAAAAAAAGGAAATAACTGAAGTATCAAACGTGTTAGGACACACAAACCGATTACCACTATGGAAACTCACATCGTGAAAGTAAAACCCACCAGTTAAAGAATGCAATACAGCGCAATAACCTCAGTAAGAGTAAAAACAAAAAAAAGCCCACACTCACAAATATCTCACAAAAGGCTGAACCACCCAGCAAATCACAAAAAACAAAGGTATTAACCATTAGCCCAAATTTACCAGTAAACACAGAAATATACACCAACTATGGGTGTAAGTCTATATATGTGTATATACGCAATTATAAATATAAATTCATCTGTTATTATTAATATTTCCTTTTCCTTTCACTGCAAAAAGCAGTTCACCATCATCCTCATCACAGTGCAAGCCCAGGTGCACAGAGAGAGAGAGTCTCCAAGAACACACACACACACAATGGAGCAGTAGCAATAATAATAATTATAGGATAAACACAGCGAGAGCAAAAACACAAACAAAACCCATTAACATTAAGAGAGAAAAAAAAGAAAAGAAATCCCAACAGGTGGAAGATTAGTTAGACTGTAGGGATTGGATGCATGCAAAAAAGAAAAAAAAGAAAACAAAGGATGACCTGAGTCACACCACCATCACCATCACACAATCAGCACACAAGAATACAGGCCAGTGTAACCACAATCAGTAGTGGTACACGCACCCACACAGAACTGCTGATACTGCTGCTGTCTGCATC